GGGGTGGGGGGGTGGGGGGGTGGAATTGGGCCTTCAGGCTACTGGGCAGCTAAGTGGAGCACCGGATGAAGGCGGGGCTCCAAGCCCCTCCTGGGACCTCATCTTGCCCTGGGCAGGAACCGGTACACAGCAGAGGAGCCTCAGGCTGCTTGGCCAACCTGCTGACACATTTATCTTTTTTAAGAGTTCCCTCCACCCAGTCTTGATTTCTGAATACTAACTCTTGCAGGGATGCTCAGGATCAGCACTGTAGACACTTTGGGTTGAGTAACTGTTTGTTATGGGAAGTGCTCTGTATATTACAGAATGCTTAGCAATATCCCTGACCTCCACTCAATAGATAAAAGTGGCATCTCCTAGTTATGACATCTAAAAATGTCCAGACTTTGCCAACTGTCCCGTCACCTTCCAGCCCTCACACTCCTTTGATAACCACTTCTCTATGGCATGAAGGCGTCTTCTAGCCTGGTAATAATGTCTGTGCATGTTGTCTGAATTTACTGTTTGCAAAATATTTCTTATACTGGAAAAAAAATTTATAATATTTAAAACTTTTATCCTTGTATATGTATGACAATTACAGGGGGCAGCAACATTAAAGAATTGTAACCAAGCTTACATTTTGAAAAAGATTGGCATTCAGACCAGATCTTTCTGGAAAACTACATTCATTATATTATTTATTTTTAAGTGACTGTCAACTAAAGATAATAGCTAAGAAACACTGCTTTGGAGGCTAGAATTAGTTTAGTGTTATGTTCAGCAACTGGCAGCCCATGTTTCATTTTTTTTTAAGTTTCTTGTTTATAAAATACTGTTGTACCAAAGAGAAAGAATGTTATAGAAGATATATTCAGCTTACCCTGTTTTGACCCATTTCCTATAATGAACCAGTTTGGGAGTAACCTAAACACATTGCATATGTTTGTGTGTATGTGTACATATATGTAGATACGAAGTATCAAGAGCTTGATATATATTCCTAGAGAATCTTGGGTGCTAGAATTAGGTGTTAATTAGCTGGGTGTAATCCCAGCACTTAGGAGGCTGAGGCAGGAGAACAACCTGAACTATATAGTGAGACCCTAAGAAAGCAAAAAAAAAAGAGTAAGTTGTTAATTTGGCTAATGAATGTTTTTGAAATATTGGTATCTGGCCAAAGCTTTCCCTTTTCCTCAAATTAGTTATTCCTTTGGTGTTAAGTATTGGAGGCTGAACAGTCCTCAGACTGCCTAGACAGGGGGATGGTGAGGGCTAAAGAAAAAAGACAATAGAGATTTGTGTAATTTCAAAGTATATGGAGGGCCAGAAATGGGCAAAGACAAGGACTCTCCAAGCTAGCTATTATTTATTGGGTATACACAATAATTGGAGGGAGTTTTGGGTGACTTAGGGGGCAGCAGTGATCCTATGTCTGTCCCAATCTCATGCTAACGAGAATGGAAAGGAGAGCAACCCTACAATAGTAGGTGGGGTGAGTTAAGCCCATAAGGAATTCATCTCTCCCCAGGCAAAACCTTTCTCTCTTTGCATTACTACTTGGTTCTCAAAAAACCAGGATGTCTTCAGCTGATGTAATCCTGCCCTTGAGCGCCACAGCATCTTGGCACCATTGAAGCCTCTTGGCTGTGACTGGAGGCAAAACAGTTGTTTCCTCCTGCCATAGCTGTCTGGAGGACAGGGCAACATCGGGCCTTAGACAGCTGTAGTTATACTTTAATTATGAAATTATTTTTCCCCAAAATTTATGTAGAATGGCTCTCAACAGGTAAGAAAACAAAACTGAAATGGAATGTGACATTTATTTTTCTTAACTTTGGTGAAAATAAAAAGGAGGTGGTTGGATGTGAGAATTATTGATATCAAGGTGTTTTTATGAATCTGTATAATAGGAGTTGGGCACATGAAAAACCCCGTAGAAAGTCCCTTGCTTTGTATCTCATGAATTTTTCTTGATGGTGTGTGAGTTCTTCTTTTACTTAAAAGAGGTACTGAGTAAGTATTCAAGCACTATGCTCAGCACCTGCTAGAGCAGTAATTGTCAACCGGAGACATTTGCTACTGTCTAGAGATATTTTTGACTGTTGTGGTGCAAATGGGGTGCTATTAGCACCAAGTAGGTAGTGAACAGGGATGCTGCTGAAAATCCTACTTTGCACAAGGCAGCCCCCAACAAAGAGTCCTCTGGTCCCAGAATGTCAGTAGTGTTGAGGTTGAAGAACTAGATAGAAACAGTGTATTTGGGAGGTCATTGGTATATGTAAGCCCCCTCAGCTTCTTATGATCTAGTTAGAGAGAAAAGGTTAATACTCCTGAACCTCTAAAGTCTACATAGTGCGATATTGTCAAGTAAGCGTAACCTGTTAGATACAGTAAATTTTTAATGGAAAAGAATGATTTTGAACTAGGCCCTAAGAATATGTAGTCCTTTTGTAGATTTAAATGTTTTTAATACTATAGGCCATACCGTGTGCCACCCCTAATACATATACATAGAACAAACCCCTAGACAGAAAACACTGCAGGCTCCTGGGTTTATACCTTTATCTCTTGTTATTTGTATTAATTTCTTTTTTTGGTTTTTTTGTTGTTTTATTTCTTTTTATTTCGTTTTGTGTTGAGACAGGGTCTCACTATGTAGCTCAGACTGGCCTTGAACTCTCTGTGTAGCTCAGGGTGGCCTAGTGTTCCTCCTGCCTCAGCCTCTCGAGTGCTGGGATTATAGGTGTGTGCCACCACACCCGGTTTATATTAATTTCTTTAATGTGAAAATTTAGGTTGCATCATTAAGCTGTTTTTTTAAATCAACTTCCAAGGGTATACATATTCAAAAGAACCTGTCTTTAAACATGTACAGACTGAATTTAGCATGGTTTCATTCAAACTTACTTCTGTATTACTCCCATGTACCAGATCACCTGAGCGAGAGACCCAACAATCTTAAGTTTGTTCCATATCCAAAAAGTCACCATGGCTGTTGATTTTTGGCTTACAGACCCTTCTGTCCACTAACATTGCAACAGACTAGCTCAGGCTAATGTAACATATCAGAATTGTTGCAAGAGACTTCATTAAATAGCTCTCACTTGGCAGAGTCTTGTTTGTCACGATCTCCTTTTGGAATGGAGTCTAGTCAATGTTGCTACCTTCAGTTGGAACCAGTCACTTACAGGTTAAACTCCTTTGTGCTAAGTATACAGAATAATTGAGAATTTGCATCTCATCTCTATCAGCATTACAATGTTGTGCCCAGATTGCGAAGTCCCAAAGACCACCAGGAGGCCGTTTCCGATGTAAGCACACGAGGGTCGTTTATTCAAGCTCAAGCAGGGACTCTCAATTGTCACCGACACAGCGGATCGAGATTGAGAGCCCCGAGTTCCAAATTAGCAGGGTTTTTATTGAGGTTACAGCTCTGTGTTGCTCTGTGTTGATTGCCTGAAGTGCTCGCCTTCATTATTTGGAGAATAACTACTTATAACACAAATATTATCTAACAAGCAATCTCTGACCTTCTAGTCAGAGTAAAGTTCAGTCTCCTATGTCCCTAATAATATAGTTCAAACATACTTGATTGTTACAGTACTGCATTGCACTGTTTGCATATTTTAGAATTTTAATTAAGTTAATTAGCAAATTAACTTTTCATTATACTGGGGATTGAACCTAGGGCCTTTGCGCTGAGGTATATCACCACATTTTGTGTTTTTTTCCTTAAATTTTTTTTTTCTTTTTTGAGATAGGGTCTCCCTATGTAGTTCAGGCTGGGCTTGAACTCACTATATAGCCCAGGCATGGTGATCCTCCTGCCTCAGCCTCCTGGCTTCTTTTCCTTAATATTTTGAGACAGGGTCTATCTGAGTCACTAAATTACCCAGGTTGTGCTCCAGCTTGTGACCTCCTCCCTCGGCCTCCTGGAGTGCTGAGATTACAGGCATGTACCACTATGCCCAGGTGCAATTGCATGTTTTTATATGTCTATCTGTTGTGAAGGTGAATTTGGAAGTAAGGACAGCTCATTTGTCTTTTTATCCCTGCATACGTAGCAATTACCTCCATTGCTCCCCAAAATGTCATGTTGAATGAATAAATGAATAGTTTATATATTTCTACATAAACGAATGTCTTTTAACATATTAATATTGTAAACTTTGTCCCCGTCTAATATAGAAATTCAGATCTTCCCATGAAATGTTACTGAATTATGATACACTTACAGTAGAACATAATGGCCTAGTATTTGTCAGACTGCACTGGAAAAATGTTGAGGTGAACTTGAAGCTGAGTGATGGAAAAGAGAAAAACGAAAGAGAAAACCCTGTGAGTTCTGAGAACAGCAATGAAGAGAAAGAACACATGGACGTAAGGCGTAAGGATTGCTTGGCATATGTTCTCCATACCTCAGGGACCACAGGGACACCAAAGATTGTCAGAGTGCCGCATGCATGTGTGCTACCAAATGTTCAGCATTTTCAGTAAGTACTATCTTTTGAGTCCGTAGACCTTGTTTTAAAGAGAAAAAAATAATTTAAAATAGTTTTTCTTTGTAAGTTGTATTCCTAAATGGATAACCCTAAGTAGTTAGGTGTGTTTTGTTTTAGTTCTGTCTGAACTTTAGTTCTCTGCACAGGAGTTGTTCACCTGTTAATCCAGGCCAACACAGGACAAATGATAGGGCTGGAAGCTCTGCTTTTCAATCATTAATAAAAAGAGAAAAAGGTTTTCTCAGCAGACGCACACTATGTGTGGGAGAAAGGAGTGTGTCCTGTTAGAATGTGTCAGGGCAGAACTGAGGAAAGAGGGAGGGAGAGCGGGAGCCTGGAATGTCCAATTAAAAGTTTGAACCTGATCTATTAGAGGGTGGGGAGCCATTAACAGATTCATACTCCATTAAATTCAGTCCTATGGTAGTATTGACTGCCTGATGTGGTCAAGAGATGTGGAATCTCTAAAGCTGATATTCTTAATTTGTAAAGAAAGAGAAGAGTGTAGTTCTAGGATTAAAAGAGAAAACAAATAGTAATAGGAACCTAATGAAACACATAGTTTTATGTCATTTTAATTTAAAAATTTCAAGTAATAAATAAAAAGAGCCAGGCATGGTGAAGCAGGAGGATCACAAGTTTGAGCCCAGCCTGGGCTACATCATGAGTTCAAGGCCAGCCTGAACTGCACAGTGAGACCCTGCCTCAAACCAAGAAGAAAAAAGGAAAAAGAACTGGGATGAGAGTATAGCTCAGTGACAGAGCACTTGCCTACTATGTGTTAGGCCCAGGGTTCTGTCCCCAGCACCTCAAAAATAAACAAATAATAAATGATCAAGTGAAATTAATTATAATATCCTTTTTTTGAGGGGCTGGAGATTGAATCCAGGGCCTTTCAGCCCCTAATTTTAATATACTTTAATTCAACTATCTATAATATTAAATAAGGGGAAGATGTGATATGTATATCCCACAGTGAATGTATTTACTCTGTACTAATACTAATTAAAATAGGGAAGAGGAGGAAAAAAGTAATAGTGAGTAAATAAAAATAACTTTTTTGAAATACAGATCTTCAAGATCTGGTGTACATTTTATATTTAAACATCTCCATGTGAACTAACTGCAGTTCTAGTCCCAATACACACTACCATATTGGAGAGCTCAGATAGGTCTAGGAAGAGGGAACGTTAAATACTACAGGAAAGGTGATTGTTGTCCTTGGCGCTATGGTCTTTAGTGACTTTCAAGTGCCCAGGGCCAAGGATGGGGTATAGTAGCTAGAGATAAGGGAATGAGAGAAAAAGAAATGGTGGTAACAGAAGTGACTATTCTCTTCTAGATACTGGTTTAAAGGAAAACAAAGGTAGAATTGGAAGAGAGGTGTAAGTTTTTGTCTTTGCTTTATGTTGGGAGAGATTTATAGGCTTTAAGAGGGAATTGGTAGTGATTGGTTTAAATAATGGAACAGTAGGAGTACTGGAAAAGAATAAGAAAACTTGAGGAGGAAGGGAATGGCATTAAACCTTGGGTGGAATGCCTCTTCTTTAAAAGAGTGTCAGGTAAAAGGGCCAAAGACCAAGACCAGACCAGGCCACAGCAAGCCTTTATTAGGGGAATAGATCTGCCGGGCTGTCTCTGAACAAAGGAGAGACAAAAGCAATATGGCTGGGGCAGGGAGAGTCTTTTATAGAGACTGGGGTGGGGT